GCAGCCTCTACCACTTCCACCTCCTGCCTCTATCTCTCTCTTACCCACCCCTTCCACCCCTTCCACCCTCTACCCCCTCTACCCACCACCACTGCCCCTACCGCCCCGCAGCTCTCTCTCCCACTTCGACCCCCCACTCCTACCTCTCTACCCCCCTCTTTACCACCCCGACCACCCCTATCACCCCTACCACTCTCGTCCACCCTGTATCACCTCTATCACCATTATCAGATTAATTAGAGCCATACAGGCCGCAGAGCCAGCCGTTCAATCCCATCTGAATTCAAAGAGATGCACATGACATCACATGAGATCATGTTACAGAGAATTTAGCAGTGCATGCTATGAACACAGAGATCAAAAATGAATATAGAGAAAAGTATAAGAAATGTAAATACTGTAAAGAATGTATGAAAAGAGCAGAATAATGATTAAAGATTGATATATTTTGATGAAGTATGTTACAGCATTTTTTGCATGGAAAAGTTAGTTTTTCTACAATAAATAGAGTATATTAATGAATGTATAGATTGTAATGAATGTAGAGAAGAGTATAAAAAAATATAAATACAGTAGAGAACATCTGTAAAGAAAAGAATGAAGATTAATATCAGAGTCATACAGCCGGCTGTTCAATCCCATCCATGGATTTGATGGGGTGCACATGATAATCATGTGAGGTCACGTTACAGGGCATTTTACTCGGAAAAGTTGGTTTTTCTATAATATACAGAGAGAAGAGATATATAGAGAGAAGATATATAGAGAGATTGTATTAAAACCTGAATAGCGGACAATAAATAACTATACACGTTGAAGAGAACTAATTCTAAACTTGATATACTGTGAACATACAGCAACAGAATCTCCAATAAAAGTTATAACATCGAGAGTCAGTAGTTAGGTTTCACTTGGGCAAAAGTGCGACATGGCAATGCGGACTGGAAAAAGCGCAAAGGGAGCAACAAAAATAAAACTGAAAAATAACAAATTAACAATAAAATAAAAATAGAAGTAAAAAACCCCTAGTAAAAGACTACCAATAATGCCTTAAAATATATCCTCGCAGACGGACCAGTCCCCGGCATCCCTACACTTCCAATAACGGCCGTTGTGAACCCAATACTCCTCACCAGTTATCTCACACTTGCCCCTAGTAAACCACTTTGGCTCAAACTCCTCGCCCTTGGCCTCCCGTTCTCGTCGCCTCGCCCGCTGTTTTTCCTCCACACGATGTTTCTCCGTTGCTGCAAAATCATACTCTCCATCCTCCATTGCACGTTGGTCCGGACGGAGCCGCGTGTCGGTTGGCGGTAAGTGAGGTCTGAGATTTTCGGGGATGGCATTCAACGTCACCACGAAAGGTGTTAAGTTGAATGGGATACCAGTTGGTCGTGGGTTGCATTGCCACACAAGGAATGCCTGTGTTGATTCTGGCTGGCGGGGAAGGTCATCATGTGGTGGTGTCATCGAAGCTTGGTATCCCGGCGTGTGTCTAGCATATACCTTGTCGTTCCAACGGCCACCAATGCTCCACTTCGTGAACCCCTCGCTATCCATCACTTTACCAGAAACCTGGTAGGCAGAGGAAGCCTTCCAGCCTCGTGGTTTGAAGTCAAGTATACAGACTTCGCCAGTTGTCCAATTCTTAATTTCCATGGGCCCATAGTTGTCCACGGTAGGGTTACCGGTGATGATGCCAACAACCGACGATGTAACCTTTTTCCAGGTGTAGAGCTCCTCACCACCGCTGACAGGACGTAGTCTCAAGAACCATGTTCCGAGCGGGTTAATATCGAATGACTTGCCATAGAATTTTGATTTTACAGCCGATTCGCCCTACAGCAAAATTAGTATTTCGACAAATTAACTGACAAGAAATAATAACAACAATACTCAATACTTTAAGAGAAAGAGGTACATACGTAATAATCCCATTTCGGAGACTCAGCCCAGGCGGCGCCAATTGGAGGATGATGGCTGACTTGCTCAATAAAGAATCTATAACCTTTATCTGGCCTCACATATTCGAACGTTTCGCCAAGCAGAGGGTTGAAAGGTTTCGCTACACGTCCTATTGTCGAAGCATACTCGCTAACTGCAAAGGCAGCGACATAAACCATACGTTCCATGGAGTCAGTGCGATCTGCAGCATTGTCAAGCAAGTCCGTGTATTCCATATCCTCTGCTACACGTTGGAGCAGCGATGTTGGTTCGTTGAAGGACACTGGGAGTGTCATCTTGGTCATGTCTTTGCCAATCATTGATTTCAAGATAGCCTGAAACGCGGTGTTAGCTGATGATTAGTAACTCAGAGGGTTGAGTATTGAATCAAACCTACCCATAGAGAAATTTTGGGCCTATTGTCAGCGTCCATCTTAAGCCTCTTTCGAATCGGGTCCTCATATCCTTTAAATGAACTGGCAATCTCCTGGTGCTTCAAAGCTCGAAGATCAGAAATTGCCTCCGCGGCCTCTACTGGCTGCGCTTGCGGAACTTCAATAACTTGCACTTCGCCAGCATCGATAGCGTCAAAGAACTCTTCATCCTCATCAGATTCCGAATCAGACAAATTTGTTAGTTCCGTAATTAAGGACCGCTTCTTTGAAATGTCCCCGCTCGTTTTCTGGTTGACAATGGGCGGGATATCAACGCCGCCTTGGACAACGGCTTCCAGGGCATCTTGTATTTGGACATGCGACGGGCCTCGGCTGATGGGACGACTAGTGGAAGCTGAAGGGTGTTCAAGAACTTCCTTGAGTGCTCTCTTCGTTTTCTTTCGTTTTTCCTCCGACTCCCCAATTTTACTTTGAAGTTCTTCGTGTTCTTGGGCAACTCGAGCCATACTGTCTTCCCACATCTTGCGCGCATCCGCCTCCCTATCTAGGCGATATTGCCAAAATGCATCTCGATCCTTTGAGATTTTGAGTAAATCAGCCACGAGAGAGGTGAGATTGCTAACCCCTCCCTGGTAAGTAGTCAACGCTTGGTCTATTGATGGATCAGAAAGCGTGGTTTCGGGATTCTTTGACTTCTCCTCTTGAAGCGCTGCAGAAACGTGACTCAGCAGATCTAGCTGTAATTTAACAGATTGGGCGGTGATATTGAAAGCGTCTTTGTTCGACGGTTGGATCTCACGGCTACTAGCATAATCCCCAAAGTCGTCATCCTCCAAGTCTCCTTCGGCGGAGTGGCTAGTAACAAGGTTGGGCAATCTATTGGATTCCGACGGGCTAAAGGTGGATTCATACGCCCCAGAAGTGGACACTTCATCCTCACCCTGAACGCTCTCTCTTGAAGTTTGAAGGCTTAACCTAGAGCTGGTGTGGCTTGGTACACCAAGAGATAATGGAGGGGCAAGGGATTTCCCGTTTGGTCTTCCAAGAAGGCTGCCGGAGTCGCTTTGGGAGTCTAACCCTTGTTTGTCAAACTGCTCCATCTTCGCATGTCTTAGGCTTTCTGCATTTCTCGTCCGCCGTTTGTCATCTTCCTTGGCCTCATCTTTCGCCCACTGTATTGCGTTGTTCAAGGCCCAGAACCACCGCTTGGCCTCAACGATATGGTTGGCTTTGAGATGGTATTTGACTGATGATTTGCCTTGTATTTCAAATCGGGTCTTGTCCTGCGCATCCATGTGCAAGGTTGCTATACGCATATTGATCGCACCGCGACAAGCAGAGCCAGCGTCATCTATGGAGTATTCAGTAAAAGTTTGTCAAGGAGTAAACGGGATTTGTCTGAGTAGTGTTTGAGGTTTGATGAGCATACCTTGATGCTTGTAATAACTCATCACGCCATCCTCCAGTACGAACCATCTCAGCTTATAGCCACTTGTATAGTTCGTCCATTTCTTTAGGTATCCTTTCATCTCTCGGGCATCCTTTCCTCCCAGGACTGTTTCTCCAGAGCCAGGTCGCCCGCCACCTTGGGCCCCAGAGCTTCCCAAGATTGCCTTTTCCTGGATGCCCCGCTGGGCGATAACAGCCGCTGGCGACTTTTTTACGATAGCCCGAGTTCGGTCGTCCTTTGTGACGTCTTGAGGGAGCTTCCCTTTTCTATCGCGCCGGAACGGGTCGGCCCCATGCATTAAGAGAATCTGTATCAGCTTCGAATCCTTCTTTCTCGCAGCCTCGTGAAGAAGTGTGCCACCCGATATCACAGTGGCTCGATCGGTGACTAGATCCAAGCTGTTCACGTCCAAAACGCCCTCAACCCTCGGTTCGACCAACAGACGTTCTAGTTTCTCGTAGTCGCCCTGGCCTATCAGGCATTTTATTTCTTTTGTTTTGGCATCCAAAAACAATGATCGCGCTAGCTGGAGCTGCTGGAAAATCTCTGGGGTGCGCGCGAGGTCGAGAGGGGTTTGGCCGTTGTAGTTGGCAATGGAATCGTTGATATCCGGGCGCTCGAGCAGTTCGCGGACGATGGGAACTCGGCCCAGCTGCGCAGCCAGGTGTAGTGGGGTGTTGCCATCCCGGTCTCGCGCATTAATATCTAGGTCAGCACTGCTTGAGAAGACATACTCAACAACCTGCGGTTCAGCGCACTGTATTGCGAGATGGATAATGCTGGTTCCTAGGGGCGCAGTCCCCTGTGTCTTTGTTTCGGCACAGTCCTTGATTGCCTTGTAGATAGCGGTTGTATCACCGCTACGTAGGATTTCAAAGAGGCGAAACGTTCGCACTGATTGCTCGATAGACATGGCTGATCTGGCCAATTCATCTCCTTTGCCACTGGGCCTTGCGGGAGAATCAGCACTTTGATGTGGACTGGGTTTCGGGCTAAGTTGCCAGGAATACAACTCGGCTAAAGATGCGCGATTGGCGGCGTGGACACTTGCGCTGCTGCTCAAGGTGGCACCATCAAGCCCCGCAGGTGAGACCCGCAGATTAGTCATGGAAACCGAGTGCGAGTGGGAAGAACGAGGCGCATTGTTGGTTGGGGATACTGAGGGAACCATGGGAGCTAGGGTTGAAGCACCATTCTGGTCTGGGGATTCCGGAGTTTCGGCCTCCCGCTGTTGAGGGTCGGCGCTGGGGGATCTGGAAGTCCTGTCGCGATGCAGTAGGGCGAGTGCGCGGGCGCTCTTGGAGCGTTTGTGCCTAGGATGAATAAGGAAGAGTTAAAATGTTAGCGAACTTGTTATTTAGTACAGCGATGGATGGGGGTGATGTGATCCCTGGTCAATACAATCATCATAATAAAATAATGGACAAAGGACAAAGGACCCAACTTGGTTTGAGTAGTTTCAAGCCACCAACGTACAACATTATTAACAGAGAGGCGTAACAGGATAAGTATCAATCAAAGGAACAAGGGAAGCCAGTGAGTGCTGTGAGGGTGTAGGGCTATCTCCATAGCTGTGGATGTGGACAATAGGTAGAGCAGGGAGAGCAGAGAGAACGGTCTCTCGGCCATCAAACAATCAAGAGGCATGCATGCCCAGCTCCCAGATCCATGTCATAAAAAAGCTATAGTTTCATATATGCATATGAAGCTGCTTACCCTGTCTTATCCCCCATTATCTCTAGGCCGTGGTTAATAGACGCAAAATGCGCCCCGAGTCGTTTGGGATTCGTGGAAGATGCTCTATCGTCGTCGGCTCGGTGCTTGGGCGTCCGTCTTTGCGGTTGGAGGTTCAACAGTGGAATAAGAGGTGTAATGTAGATTGGATGGAGAGAATGTAAAGAGAAGTAGAAGAAGCAGAAATAGAAGCAGAAATAGAAGCAGAAGCAGAAGCTGGAGCTGAGCGGGGACAAGGACACATACAAGCCTGAGGCGCCGATTCCTGCTCGTGAATATGTTAAATAATGCGGGCAATCACTGCCGTAAATAAATAAATCAGTAACTAAATCCTTCGCGTGTCGAGCCAGTTGCAGCTTGTGACTACAGATTGAACTATTGACTTATTATTATAGTAGTTACATATTTAATAGCCATTGATGATTGCCCAACAACTGCTCTCGAAACCGAGCCCACTTGGATAACCTCGCCACGCCACACACAGCACAGCAAGGCACATGTTGACGCGGCGCCGAAAACCAACGGGCTTATTTATTATATCTGATGGATTTATATATATTACCAGACGTCATCCGACTGGATATGTATGATCAGTCAGACTACAACCAATTGGATACAACATGGTGGACAGCATGGATGCACAGGGATTTTCAGCGCTGTCACACACATATCTCCCCCCGAGGTCGTTTCTGATCTTCTAATCAAGAACAAGGTGGGAGAAATCCGGCTCTGAATGACGTAGAATATCAGATCCGCAGCAAAACTGGGCGCGTAATTCTGCATCAACATCCACCCAGGACAATGACCCGATTTTGATCTTAGGCGGCATCCTGCCATTTATGTCTAATTCAAGTAAATGCACATGGTAATATACAAAATATCTATTCACATTCTAAATCTCAGAATTTAAAACTTATTGGAGCTATGTAACCATCCATCCATCCTCCTCCTCCCTATCTCCGCTCCCCGCTCACAAGCAGCACAACAGAGCCAAGCTGCCTCCGAACATCCTCCTTATCAACATCATGCGTGTCTTCCACCTCCCCCCACTTATCCGTCTGCCAGGTAACCTCCAGTGTCGACGCCTCCGCCGCCTTCTCGATGCCAAACGTCCTCCGCCCCTCCGCCTGCAGGTCGCGGAACTGCTCACTCCACTCAATAACAAACCTCGCCGCCACTAACAAGCTCTTACTCGCCAAAACACCCCTTTCCAACCCGGCTAGCTCGTACGCCGGCAAGCCGTAGATCCATCCGCGTATAACCTCCATGGTAAGCGGCAGCTGCGGCGAGGGCAAAATGCTATTCTCCTGTAGCGCGGGCCTGATCTCAATGCCCGGCCACACTTTCGTAGTCAGGAAATCGACGATGGGCCTTGCCGTTCTAATCTGGATATCACGCAGCGATTCTTCTTTTTCCCCTGTCACCCCTTCGCCGCTTGCTTCCATGTCGTGTAGATGGGAATCATAGAAGCTTTTTTCCGGCGCCCAGCTTAGCAATGTATCCGTTTCTAGATATCGCATCATGGATGCCACGATTTGCTCGCGGATGGTACTTTGGCCCGCGGCATCTTCCGCGGCAAGGTCCTGAACGCGCGCTGTGAGTGAGGTCAATGGTATTAAGTGCTGTTTTAGAGCTTGCTGGGCGGAAACTAGCAGGTCCCACTCGAGCGCGATGGCGTGTGCCAGATGTGGTTTTGAGGCGGGGATGATGAGGATTTTCTTTTCGGGTGTTCGGACGGGACGCGAGTCGAGGAAGATCTGATATCCATCTGTGTATAAACAGATAATAGAAAGAATAATTAACATATTTAGTTAACTTCTTCGATAATAATATATTTCCCTCCCACAATAAAATCCTCCCCCCCCCCCCCAAAAGGTCCTTACCATCTACTTCCTTAACATGAACATCCTTCCAGAACCTCCTTCTCAGCGGCTTCGACTCTGTAGCCGTTGTCGACGACCCCTGCCCCGATGCCACAATATTACCCTGCTGTATAAGTTCCGACTGCTTCTTCCTCCGCTCAAGGCGCTCGAGAAATTCCGGCGACGGGGAAGGCGGCTTTGGCGGCGGGCCGCTGACGGTTATGGGATGTGCAACTGCGGCCTTCGCTGTCGATGAGTGTACATGTGCATATTGAGACCGAAGGGGCGCGTGAACGGCTCTGGGCAGGCGTGAAAGGGGCCTGGGATTGAATGTGGGGGATATCCTTGGGAATGGTTTCATGGTGTGTTGGTGGATTTTGGTGAGGGGGTGAGTTGTATGGGGATGGGATGTTGTAAATTTATTTTGGTTTTGTCTAAATAACTTCCCGCAAGGAAGCTCTGCTTGGCTCTAGTTTAGTCTCCGCCCTTCATCTGTGGCTTGTTGGACGATCCCTGATTTGTGCGCTGTGTCGAACCACCCTCCTATAGATTATATTTATTTTGATATGTCTACGCTGAGGATATAGTAACTTGGAAGCTGACGGGGCACTGTGGGTATCTTTTCCTCACTCTGTTTGCCTCCTATCTACTGTTCTCCACCACATATTCCTCGTCGTTTGAAGAATACCTGTCTAGGTTCTAACAATCGTTCAATCATTTATATATACTCTTCCTTATTGGCCAAATAGCTAAAATACACGTCCTAGCCTCTTGGGAACGACGCTTGAATGGCACACGGTATGGAGAGGCCTGAGAGAATGATTGATAACCGTCATGCCTGATTTTCATGTACTGTACTTTCAGAATCGCTTAACTCTATATGACAGACAGTCAACGACTTTATATGGCGATATGATATGGCCCGCGAATTCAATTTAGTCGAGGGATTTTTTGGGTTTTTTACAGCCTTATATTATCGGCAGGAGTAATCTGCAATGTTCTGTCTGCTCTTTGAGCCACCCGCAGTATGTCTCGCGGTTCCTGGGAAACAAAAATCAACCCGAATCTCAGACCATTGTCCAACCAGAGTTCTCATGCGTGCAGTTTACAAGTTGGCTAGGGATTGATATCCTTATTATTATACGGGCTTCCATCGAGACAGCTGTTATGTTTCGAAATAGAGGCCAATGCTGAAATCCCCGCGGTGGGATGGCGTGGAAAGTCCCAGGAACCAGGAAGCCTTCCTCTGGCCTAAGGAGAAAAACATATAACCGCTGTATGAGGGCGTTGCAATGGAACACATGCTCAATAGAATAGTGCGCGGTACGGGACCCTGATTCGTTCGGGTAATGGTAATGGGGTCTTTATTAAGTTCTACACACCCCCATATAAGTTCACTTTAAACACCAATAATGACGGTTTAATCATGGCTGTTGAAACGATTCCTCGCTTTCGCTGCTCGGCCACAAACACATCCAATTCGGTATCTGCTCCCAGAAAAATTGCGCTTCAATTAGCAGAAAGGTTGAGATGCTCAATGTTGGCTAAACCGAGGAAGGATTATTTTCCTGTTGCCAGCTTCTCGCCCTAACTCCAGAGCGCCGGTTTAAGTAACTAACTTATCCTTCTCAACGCTAACTACAGCTTGGCCGGTTCTAGTGCATTCAAACTGCCGAAATCTATCCCTCGTTTGCTTGTATAGCCACGACCATGCCTATTAAGGGTGGGTGTGGGCTAGAAGTGTATATAATTGGTAATAATTTGCATCTTTTTACAAAGTTTGATCGTGTACTCCGTATCCTTTGTGTGCTATTCCCAATATCAAATCGATGCCGCCATTGGCTGAGTGTTTTAGGCCGCCTGTATAAATTCACGTGACTGATATTTCGTCATCGGATCTTGATTGGATTCAAGGGACGACGTTATGAAGCTCTTGAAGAACCGCAAGCTAAGGCAGCTTCTCATGGGATAGGCGACATAGCAAACATTCTCTAGCATATTTGCTTCGCTACGAGTTCGATCGCTGCAGGAATATCTGTTCTTGTGTTGTGGCCCCATCCGCAGCAATTTGGGCATCCTGTGCAGGCTAAAATCTGAGCCTTATCACCATCAAACCAACGATCAACAGCCAAATATATTTGTTTTTCTCAAATCCGCCACCGTTTTCTCCTACTATAGGGCTGACCGGGTATGTGTTGTTTCAAGGCCGGGCGTGGTACTCTCTCGTTGCATGGTATTTTCCGTGGCTGTTTCAGCAACGCAACGGTGTTTCGATTGTTTCAGCATGCAAAAATGGTTGGTTTATCTGTGCTTAGCCCTCCAGCTGGCAAAGATACCAGTGTGTGGTAAGTGGATTCCTGAGATATGAAAGCACCGAACTAATGCAAATGAACAGCTAGGGTCTATCACCTTGAGCTGTCCGTCCCTGAACTTTTTCACTCTTAGGGCGATCTTGAAATATACTTTTTATTGTCAATATCTGTGTCGGCGAAAGAAAAGGTTCGAAATATTTCTGTAGGAAGGGTGTGCGGATACTTTCTTTTGCCTGGTTATGTTAATTTAATTATTTTTCCAACGCTCTACACTTTGGGCAGATTGAACAGCACGATTACCTTTCAGAATCGCTTCTAGTTTTTATCCTTTGAGTGGTGCCATGAAGCTATGACATTTAAGGTTCTAAGATAAGATGAAAATGCAGGGTCATGACTTTTGAGTAAATGAGCTCAACTCAACGAAGTACCATTGCCGGTTATGTTTCCGACCAAGAGAGCCGCCACATAATTCAGTTGGCTGTATAAATCGAGCTAATTATACATCTGCAGAACATAATGTCCCCGATTGACGGTGTTTACCGAACAGAGCTGAAAATGAAAACAATACGTCAACGGTATCAGGTCGAAGAAACTGATAGTATCAGAAAGCGGGTCTCCCGTGAAACGAGGTCTCGAACTCGGAACGGAGTTCTTTATCGATATTAAAGGAATAGTCCCTTCAGTTTTTGTTTTGTCGCTAATCCCAAAGTCCCCCCATGTTGATCCTTACATTAGCCTGACCCGGGCGTGCATTTCCCTCTTGGGAAGCAAATATACTAGGCAACCGCGCCTCGCGCATTCCACAGCTGCGTCATGCTTGTCGAGCGGGTCTACATGCCACTATAAGAAAACAAGAAAACGAGCTGTCACCATGTCACACATACCAAGAGCCTCTGACGCGCTCGCTTTTTGGCCCAGCGATATCAAGTGTTGGGGAGAGGCTATGATCCTGACCCGTCTAAAACCATAATTCTCAACCTTTATGGCCAAAGTACCTCGTTCCTTTGCATCTAGATCATGGTCACTTTGAGCTACTGTCGAGTCGGCGAGGATCACTGACGCTGATTCACCAACCTAATCTAGGGGGGCCGAGAGAGTGGAGGCCCTTGCGTTGTGGATTCCCCAATACCATCAGCCTGCCCAACTTTTCGGCATTCCTTTATTACTCGCATGAACATCCCTGGGAGGGGACCGAGCGCAGAAGAGACCAAGAAATTTAGTTCCAGTGTAGCTGACAATCAACACATGGGCACACGCACCCCGCTCCACATCTCACAACCCGTCCAAGGTACCTGCAGTGCATCTGCACGCCATTGCCAACCCTGAAATACCCCACAAACAGGCGCAGCTCATGCATAAGGTATGCAATGCCTCGCATGAGGAATACATTAGGGCGGGTTTGTCCATTCTGCTGGGCAAGTGATCATGGAAAATATGAGATCGTGCATGTGTCCAGAAAAAGAAAAGCGCACCAACA